GTAAGGTTAAATCTTGTTAGGGCTATATTGCTATATAATAAGAAAAAATTTAAGTGAAACATTTATCATTATAATAATTGGTATAAAAGATTTTTTGGTTTTAAAACTTGAAAATATTTATGTACCAAATCTATATACAAAGTAATCAAGTAGCTACAGAAATAATTCTAAAATTATTAACGCATCTCGAAAGCTTGATAGGGTCTATTACAGAGGATGAAGATCACTCAATGGATGATAGGCTAATAGTTTTCACACAAGACATCTTAACAAAACAAAGGGTAAAAATAGAAGAAGAAAAAATATCGCAACCTGGTTTTATAGTAACTAGAAAACCTTATTTGGTCTTTCAGAACTTTTAGGCAAAAGGCTATTTATGTAATAAAAAAAATAATTATCACCCTGTACATCCTGTCTAAGATAAACTATAATTTTTTTAAAAAAATAAATGGTGTTTATTATGTTGGGAATTGCCTAAACTAACATGTTTTGTTTTAAAGTCTAAACTAATAAAGTGGGTTTTAATTTAGAAATGAGAAGGGCTTGATCCCCATTTAGAAAATGTTCAAGCATTGGACTTGCTAAAATGGTGAGTTATTTGATGATTATTGAACCTATAATAAATACATGATTTGAATGGCACCACTCATTTTAAATGGGCTTTTATGGGATCAAGTTGATCCAGCCCAACTTGCTCATAACATCAATGAAAATATTTTAAATATAAAACAAATAACACATACCAATATGGTTATAAACATGTATTTACAAATTCAAATACCGGATAATAATCATCGAAGGATACAAGTGAAAAAAGGGACCCTCTAACCCTGGGTTGAATTCTCAAAATAAATGATAGCTTATACGCCATAACAAACACAATAATAAAAACCACATGATAAATAACATAGGCATGCACTTGCTAATTTAAACACTTGACAATTAACATGTAAAGATGAAAGCCATGAATATGTCATCTAATCATAAATTGAGTTCTTGAAATAGATGGTAACTTATACATAAATATAAACACAATCATATGTGCATAAAAATTTTGCATTGAGACCAAACTATTATGAATCAAATAAACTAAAAATCAAATATGATCCCCTTAACCCCATCATGGATATTGATTCTAACCTTATCTCGTCTTGAAAAAATGATGCCCAACAACTTTTTACTCCCAGACATGGACTCTAACATCTCAAATATCTATTATAATACCCATAAATAATCAATAAAATTATAAATTATTCAAAATAAATATAAATTTATTTTGATTTGAAAACAACCTTCGAAAGATATTGGAGTTGACTTGAGACCATTGAATAAAGACCAGACAATGTTGATGTATGGACTTACACACTTGCACATCTAGTACATGTGGAAAGCTTGTGGCACACATGCTTCATGCACTGAATTTGACTTGCAAAGATAGAATAGAACATTTTGATTTGAAGAATTTTAGGTTGATTTTTTAGGCGAAAAGATTTTTATTTAGGGATGATCCATGTTATGAATTTTAGGTTGGAGAATAAAGGAATGAGATTGGAATCCCAAGATTATTTGGTTATCGTGTGTTTTTAATGAGGAAAAATGACTATCAATGACTACTTAGAGGATCATGAATATTGTTCATTTTCAAAGAAGATGGAGGAAAAGGTTTTTTTTTTTTGTCAAATTAGCATGGTAAACTTAAAAATTTAGGGGGAATGACATCGTTTGAAAAATATTTGGTGAAATGACATAGTTTGACTTATTGTCTTTATGAAGTGTGATATTAACTAAATGTCATGTTTCTCAAGCACAACAACTTAAGATGTTGCGCTTCACAAGTGCGATATTAATTAAAATTTAAACATATCAAACACCATCAACATACAGATGCTCCCCTTCTCTTGAAAAAAAAAAAACCATTGTCTCCCTTATATCTCTCTTAAAAAACTAGTTCATCACTTATATTTTTCCTTTTAAACAACTAAAAATTAAATCCATTCTAGTCTTTAAACATCATTTCTTATTGAAAATCTTAGGGCTACTTATGATTATAGAACATGAGAATATGTTAAGTTTAGTTAGAATTTGTTAATTGTGGTAATTATGGTTTTTTATAAAAAAATTTAACCGAGACAAAATTTTAGGTATAGTTCCTATATAGAGGGAACTCTATCCAAATTTTGATAAAATTATAAATATTTTAACTCTATAAAATCATAAAATAAATAAAATTCAGATTAATAAAAACTATGATTTTATCAATTTTTTCATGCTTAAAAAACATGAAAATGACCTAAAATCTTATAGTTTAATTATTATCTAACCGTTTTGTCAAATGTTAAGCGGTTTCTCAAAATGATCATCTTGAGAATGTCATAGTTTTGAACCATGACATTGAATAAGATGTTATGGTCAAAATCATGACATTTCATGTCACGGTTGTGAATCGTGCCATTAGTTATCGTGGTTCTGAAATGCGACATGTATCAAATGTTCTAGTTCTCAATCACAACATTATTGAAATGTCATATTTCTGAACTATGATATCTTCAAATTGTGATATTTTTCCAAAATATTTTTATATGTGTCACTTCATGTTTAATTATGTTTAGAGTGTTAATTGCCTAATTTATCCGAGAAAATGGTAATGAGTAAAGGATTTTTAGGTCAATATGAGGAAGATGGTAGAAAAGCTATTATAAACGCGAGGTGTGAAAAATTAGCAGAACTATTGGTTAGTGTGGGTATAATGTGTCTAATGGAAGTTTATTATTGTTATAGTGGTGACTAATGATTGAGTTTTGACAAAATGATTTGTGTTTCTATTTTTGGATTGTTATGGGATGTCTTTTTCAAGAAGAGTGTTATATATATAAATTTTTTTGTATGATTTTTTACTCTAGGATTTTACACTATATTTATGATGTTCTTTAAGCTTTTATAGTATTAAGTTTCATGTTAAAACTGGAAAAATTAAAAGATTTTAATATTCTTATCATATTGGATAAGAATCTTTAATTTAAAAATTTTATGATTAAATATTGATTTATTTTATTTTCTTACATGTGCAGAATCTCCTATAAATGTTTTTATTAAAAACACAACTCTTTCAATTTTGTTTGATCCTATATTTATTTTTCCTTCCTCATTTATATAATCTTTTATTATAATATTTGATTCTCCATCATTTTAGTCCCTTTTTTCTTGGTGGTCATCATTTCAATCCTTAGTTCATTTTATTTTATTTTTATTATAAAAACTTATGCGGAATAAAATAAATAAAAGTACAAAAAATCTTGAAATGACTAACAATTGACCAAATCACCTCTAATAGACATTGTTTTAGGAAATTTAAAATACTTTGGAAAAAATAAAAGAACAAAAAGTTATGATAACAATAGCAAAAAAAAACACAGAAAAAAAAAACATAGAAAAAAAGAGAAGCGAAGAGAGAGTACATTTAACTTACAACAGAAATAAATTGATGATTGTAAGCCACAAACACTTCCATTAATAAGAGTACTTATAGGCCCAAATTGTAAAAATCAAAACCCTTTGATAGATTAAGGAGTTCAAATGAATTAAAGAACTTTACACAAGATAAAATAGTATTTCAATGTTGCTAAGATAAGTTTGAATGAACAAGAGGACATCAATACAATGTTCCTTATAAGTGATTTGAAGTTGTGGTGGAGGATAAGAACTAAGAAAGATTTAAATGCTAGACGATTTAAGATTGATACATATGAATGTTTGAAGGACTTAAATGTTGGGTAAAATATATTCAGAATGTGATGTCTATACATTTCACTTGACAATCACAGTCCAATATGGATAACTAAAACAAACGTGTTCATGATTTCATTATCACGGACAATGGTTGCTCTATTCTGTTCGTTTTGCTTGCAAAGCAGATGGTAGGATTTTATTCCATATATCTTTTTATCAGTTGTTTTTTTATAAATATATTTAACTGATAATAATTTTTTTTTATTGCATGTTATGGTTCTTGGATGCAAGCCAAATCCAATGAAGCTTTTTATTGAAACACATGTGCAGTGTGATGATTATAAAAAAGGGATGTAATAGTTCGTTGATAACTAAGATTAACACTTTGTGGTATGTTAATTTTCAATTTTTTTTCTTACGTTATTATTTTCTTGAATTTAATTAATTTATTTTTTCTTTCTAAGATATATATAACAACCGATTGAAGGAGAGATACTGAGACAATCCTTCAACCTTTTCGAATATCAATCTAGATTTATGGTTGGAGGTAGGATCTTTTAGTGGATTTGGTAAAAATTAGGTGTGTGGACTCTCTAACATTACAGTCGAGAACTTGTGAAGGACTTGTAGTGCTTCGATCATTGGAAGTTCAGAGTGATGTTAGACCAATAGGTATAAGATCGAACAACCCATCTTAATGATAAATATGAACGACTCATTGTTGATTATAAAGAACTCTACCGATTGATAATGGAAATGAGATCATATATGAGTGGTTCATGTGCATCCTCTAATTGACCTCTTGTTTCCGATGATGACCAGCCTCCTTCTCTATTTTAGATTTATTATATTTGAACGTATAAATATTTAATTTGTAATAGATATTTGATTTTTATACTAATTTATTCTATTTTAATTTGATTCAATATATTTTTTTGAAAAATATTACTAACGAGGTTACTAACAGCATAATTCTATTGGTATATTCTTGAGAATTGAAAAAAAATTACTATAAATATCACTATTATTCTTAATGTATCGATGAAATTATAGAAGGTATTTTATCAATGACATGTTATATTTACTGATGAATATATTAATATAATAAAGTAATTAATTTTTGTAGCACGCTTTGCCTGCAAATCTATAACATATTTATTATCGAAAAACTCATCAATAATTCATAAATTATTAACAATTTTTTTAATAAATTATTTATATTTATGAATCCATCGATAATTTATACCGACAATCAACATGAGGCATAGCAACAAGAAAATTAGATGCTTTGGACACGTTGATATATGTAAGGACCATATATAAAAGATAAAGATGTTTATGCTGTGTTGGCCATGGGTATAACGCATGCTTTATGGTTAACAAATTGGTATATTGCATATAAAGATCGGGAGTGATTCTTGTAAATTATTGTGCACTGCATATTTGGTTTTGTCCCCTTGTTTACAACGAATGAGAGATTGACAAAAAAAAAGACCTGGTTTGAGGGCAAACACCAGGAGGCAGAAATTTGAGTGAAAGATTTACCCCTAGCCTTGGCCCACACGGTAATTTGGGAGTCTGCCTGTGAAAGTGAAATGACCGGAGAATCGAAGCTGGCCTGACAATTGAAAAGGCCCATAGATTGATTATGCGTTATCTTTTATGTAATGAACAAAAGCCCATCTGGCCGCTAGAGGCCAATGATCGTCACTGATAATGATATTGTTGTAGTGAGCTTCGTCAATATTCATGAGAAATAATATAATAATTTAATTCAAATTGCATGCTTAAGAAAAAAGAAAAAAAAAAGGGTACACGAATCAGCAATAATTTTGGGAACAGACGGTGGCCACATCCACAATCATACACTCTCAATCCATCCATGAACCATGACTAGTATATAAATACTCTCCATGTATAAACCAGACGGGTTCCATTCCAGATTACATAAATTCTTTCGGGCAACCAGCTCTCTCCAGAAGGGGTTTGTGCATATCCCTCCATATTCTGTAACATTTCGCTGCGACAACAATGCAAGGAGCTGGGAATGGTGAGTACAGAAAAGGGTTGTGGACAGAGGAGGAGGACAGAATCTTAACGGATCACGTAAAGGTGCATGGCAAAGGGAAGTGGAATCAGATAGCAAAAGTCACAGGTACTTAGGATTCCTCTTTTTAATCTTTTGCCCATATAAGGAAATGCTAGCCTTAATTAGTACTTGTGGCATGTTTCTTTTTACCAGCTAATTAGAAGATTTGTTTGTGTATGAATATTGCGATTTAGGCCTCAAGAGATGTGGCAAAAGCTGCAGGTTAAGATGGATGAATTATCTAAGCCCTAGTGTTAAGCGCGGCGTTTTCTCTGAAGAAGAAGAAGACCTTATCATCAGGCTCCATAAGCTTCTTGGCAACAGGTTTCTCTTCTTCTCTTACGGTTATATAAATTCCAAGTTAGCATACTTAGAATATCTGGTTAAGACTAATCACAGATATAATCTCCTGATTCATTCTCTCAGCTTATACTTATCAAGTCTTATAAAAAGCTGTGGTTTTAACAAGTTAATCATCTCATTTTAATATTTCCTTGATGCACAGAGGATGGCCACAATATCATGCGTTTCTGGGCAGCATGAATTCATATATATATATATATATATGATACTAGTATCTCACAGTACCCACTAGCTTGGAGATGATCATTTATAAAGCACGGGGTCTTCTCTCTTTTTAAAAGACATCATAGGTAAACAAGGACAAAACCCCTATACGCTGCCCTATCGGCTGAGCTACGACAACACATTTTTTGGGAGACGAGGCTGGCCCTGTCTTCTGAAGACGTGTTGTAACCCACATTAGCTGGAACAATGTATTTTGAAAGGTCTACCATGTGCGGATATGATTTCCCAAAAATGCAAAAATGGACTCTCGTGATTCTTATCACAGTTGAACATGCGCAGCATAAATTGCAAAATTTTAATGTGTAAAATCGTTTTCATCAAAATTATCATATGTAGCTTGATAGCGAGAATTGGCCATGCTTTTCTTTTACCTATGCCTGTGATCTGTGGCTCTGTATACCCATGGTTTACTCTTAGTTTTTACTTTACCAAGAGGACACCATCATTTTTTACTGTTTCCACCATGTTCCTAGCTGCTATATCTTTTGAATTGTCTTCTACATTATTGTACGGTAAGTTTCATTGTGGGATAATTTGCTTTCTATGATTAAGTTAACATACCAAATATATATTCTTATACATTCATTTATTATTCTTAGGTGGTCTTTAATTGCCGGTCGAGTTCCGGGAAGGACAGATAATCAGGTGAAGAATCACTGGAACACTCATTTGAGCAAAAAACTTGGGATTAAACAGAAAAAATGTAAAGTTAGTGCTTCTTCATCAAAATTTTCAGAAGAATCAGGGGCGAATTCCAAGATTAGATTAAGTTCAAATGATGGACCCACTTTATGTCACAACGGTGAAGCTGAAATCCATACCGAGATACAAGACAATTCTGAAAAAGTAAAGGAAATGACTAGCTTGCAGGACCCTGTATCGTTCGGTGATTGCTATGACAATTTTTGGCTTTCCAGTAATGACCCTTTTTCCTGTGCCCCTAATTTAATGGAATTTCTAGACCAGTCTCTTGATCACTTTTGGTATAACTTGTAATTAAAGCTCCAGGTTTTTTTTATTTATTTCAATAGCTTTTTTAATAAATAATTTTTTTCTTTTTTTTTATGGCTTTTCTTTAATTAACTTTTATATATATATATATATATATATATATATATATATATAACACTTCCTCCAATAAAGGAATGATATTTAAAAATAATTTTATATTTATATTAAGAATCATAATATGCAAATTTTATTTTTTGATTAGTTTGAATTCCATTATATATCAGCAAAACATATCACATATCTATTTGCATCTATTAATCATGTATATTCTATTACAACCTGTTTAAAAACTCCTATATGGACCTTCACCAGTAAATTGATGTTGAGTCTAATTATTTACCTTTACACAACATACAATTTACCCACAAAGATCAAACACTTGATACAACCCATACAAATTATCTAGTGAAGATACCTTCACAAATACTAAACATATCATTTAACAATATAATTTTATAAATACCAACCTCCTCACAAATACTAAACATATCATCTAACAATACAATTTCATAAATACCAACCTCCATACTATTGATAAACAGCTTAGCAGATTGAAAAAATACATACAAAAGATCTTAGTCCACTTAATGACTGATAAAAACCCCATCGACTTTAAGCTAAAAAAACTCAGTATTCAAACCATATCAAGTTACTAAAACAAGCCAAGCACAAATGCAAGAAAATCAAACAGATTTTCTTAAAGCATATATATATACATATATATATATATATATATATATATAAGCGGAGTTAGGATTATTTGTTAGGGATGACTAAAAATAATATAATAAGATATAATATTTGTTTTAATTTATTATACATGAGTTGTTAAAAAAACCAACATGATTTAGTTTCATTCAAATAACTTATTACAAACATATAATGACCTTTGTACAAAGTAAAATATTAAGGTAATATTAAATTGAATCAAAGTAATGAAGTTAATTTCATCTTTATGATAAATCCATCACTTTAATATTGTTGGTCTTTATACCTGTCAAATATAAACATACAAGGTATATAAGAAATATTAGCTAAAACGAAACATTATTTTATATTTGATAAACTTTGAAATAAAGTAAAAAATAATAAAGAATGATTCTTATATATTTATTTTAATTGTGCTTGTAGTTCTTTCATAGAATATAAATCATCAATTATCATATTAATTGTGAATCTTTCAACAATTTCTTTTACTTAATAGACAATAATTTGCAAGAAAATTATTCTCTATCTGATTGCGAAGTTTTATATTAACAATCTTTGGCACTGAGAATGCTCGTTTAGTAGTTGTTGTTGAAATAGAAAAAGTCAAAACAAATCGAATCAATCTGTCAACTAGTGGATAAATATTTTTTGTAAGGAAGCTACAGTGCTTTTTACACATGATTAAGTTTTATTATAAATTTAAGTTATAACCAACTCAATATTAAAAAAATAAAATTGATGAAGATAATTTTGAAAAAAAAATATAAAAAAAAATGAAAACACAAAAGAAACTGAAAAAAAATCATGCGAGGAAAAATTGTATCAATCCATAATGTTTTGTGAGGAAAAACTTGTATTTATTTATAATTATAATTTTTAATCATCTTAATATTTTAAAAAAATAAAATTGACAAAGATAATTTTAGAAAAAAATAACAAAATAGAAAAAAACCATTTGGAAAAAAACACTATAGCAATCCATAGTAATTTACGAGGAAAGTTACAGTGCTTTCGTCACATATTATAATTATAATTTTTAACCAGTTCAGTAGTAAAAAATAAAATAAAAAAGATAATTTTAGAAAAAATAAGAAAAAACATAAAAAAACCATGCGGAGAAACATTGTAACAATCAACAATGTTTTAAAGAACAAAATTACAAAACTAAAATATTAAAAAAATCAGAAAATATAATTTGTTTAAAAAAAACTATGCAAGAAAACACAGTTGAAATCCACAGTATTTTAAAGAAAAAAATTACAAAGTGAAATTTTTAACCAGTTCAATATTTAAAAATTAAAATCAACAAAAATAATTTATTAAAAAATAAATGAAAAAAAAAAAGAAAACAAAGGAAAGTTGAAAAAAAAAAGGAATGTGATTTTGGAAAAAAATTAAAAAAAGGAGAAAGTTTGGGAAAAAATGAAAAAAAAGGAAAGCACCGTGGAAATCAACAAATATAATTTTAAAAAACAAAAAATAAAAAAAAAACTATGTGAGGAAACACTGCAAAACTTCACAATATTTTAAAGAAAAAATTACAAAGCGAAATTTTTAACCAATTCAATATTTAAAAAGTAAAATGAACAAAAATAATTTAAAAAAAAATAAATGAACAAAAAAAAGAAAAAAAAGGAAAGTTGAAACAAATAAGGAAAAAGAAAAAAAGGAAAGTTGAAACAAATAAGGAAAGTGATTTTGAAAAAATAAAAGAAAAACAAAAGGAAAAGGAGGAAAGTTGGGGAAAAAATGAAAAAATATATATATAAAAAAGAAAACATGGTGGATTATTATTGTAATTCACAATGATTTTAGTGTGAAAAAAATAAAATAAAACAACTATATAAGAAAACATTGCAGAAATTTACAGTATTTTAAAAAACATTACAA